CATCTGCATCCTGCAGCCCGGTAAATAACCCGTGAGCCTACGTATCCATTCCATGACAGCCTGACTCTTATTTCTCTTAGTCAACTTATCGGCCGTAGGCGCTTTTACGAGCTCGAAACCTTGAGAAAAGGACCCTGCGTCTGACCCCTCGCAATATCACATCGGTCAAATATTTCATGTGTCGATCAGACGATTGTTGGTGTTTGGGGTAAGTTTGAGTGTGAGTGAGGCGAATGAGCAAGGGCAAGTGCAAGGGGTTTCGTGTAAGACCGAGGTAGGATGTCATTGGGAGAATAGACGAGAGGGAGGATCTACGGTGATGTATGCTATTGGACGTGAGTCTGATAATGCAGCTTGCCCTGTTCATTCAGCGACGGCGGTCCCAGCAATCTGGTAACGCTAGTTCAACGGGCGCGTAAAGGTGGTAGGCTGGGATTCATTATGTCGCCTTACAGAATAGTACAGTTGGTTTTGGGCTGCCGTTTGTTGCATGACGGGCTTTCATGTACTGCACGTTTTTCTTCTCGGTGATGCAGGACCTAGACCTTTTGCGTGTCGTGCGTCCGCTTCTAGAACAACCAGTTTAAGCGAAAATGACATGTTTCTGGCATTAGCCTCGTGCTTTCGGACTCAGGTCGTACGTTTTGGGCTGTCTGATGTGTGGCGAGCAGGCAAGTCAGGAATGGCGCAAGTCTCTTGCCTGCAACGCGTGGCACTCCATATCCGTGTGTCGTCACCACACCACACTACACTACACTACAATGCAACTAGGCGCAAAAATCCTTCAGCCTCTTTCTGTATGTTCGCTTCCTCCGAGTCAATCAAGTTCAGTCCCGTCCGTTCGTCCATATCCATTAGCCACCTCATGAACTTCCAGCCTTTGCGCCACAAAATCCTTCGACATTGCAAAGTGGTAAAAATTAAACATTTTTACCTGTTTTGAGCCAGGTCGCCTGACTTCCGGAATCCTTTCACAAACCTACGACATCCTGAACTGCTGCTTTGGGTAGTAGCGTATTGCCTGATTTGGGATGTATGCGATGAAGGGTTAGTAATACTGGTCTGTGGAGAGCTGGACTTTGTATGCATCGGTGGCACCGTATAGAACGATTCTCCTCTGATGGGACTGGCTGCAGATGGCGCAAGTGAACTGTTCATGATGGATTTTGGCATGATTGGTGTTGAAGCAGCGCCGAGATGGGTGGTTCAGCTCTCTCGGTCCACACCTTCTCTCTCCATTGGGTCTTAGCATGACAACGACCCGTTCGGCAGTTGCTCGCGACGAATGACCTTGACGCCGCGCGCGTTGTTCTGGCCTTGTCGATACCGGACTCCGTCACAACGTTATCCTAAACGGTACCGCGGACTGGGCCGCCCCATTCCCATCTTGGCGACTTGATCGTCCTTACCCGTCCGAAGCAAAACCAGGAAAACTCGCGGCGCAGAGCCGAGATAAAGGCTATAGTAACAGTTTGATTGGGGTATATTGTTGCCGAGAAGAAACGTCGCCGAGGTAGTTTCGCTTCAGGCAGTCATTGAGGCTGGGCTATAATGGGTATGGACATGGATAAGCGATGATGATCGTTTTCCTTGAGCGTATCGCAGAGCGGAAGGCTGCGGGGGTAAGAGTCTTGGGCGGCAACGTTGAGGCTATCAGCTGTTGAATTTTGGTCACATGCGACTCGAGAATTGCGAGTAGTGGATAGAGGTCTAGTTGACATGATGCTTCCATGAAGACTATATGTGTTACCACAATGTACGATCCCTAATTAGGTGGAAACGAGATGAAATGATCATCAAGGGACTGAAGCGATGACTTGGAGGACAGGATTGTTATGCCTAACTTTCAGAGCCCTACGCCAGCTGCGATCGACCTGTCGCTTTGGCTTTGACTGAGTACTTCAGATGGTTGTTGAGACGCTTGACAACCTTAGTTTGCTAGATTTGTGTAAAGTAGCTGTATATTTACTGAATTACAATAGGATCTCAACTCTGCAAAGACTGTGCAACAGAGGATTACAATGGGAAGGAAACTGACAAGGCTCGATATGCTCGTATCCCATCGCGTTGCCAATACTGTATACTGTTTCCTGTTGTTCTGCTGCTCACTGAGACAAAACTACGAATACAGACACAACACTAGTAGCCCTGCTATTGGATAATAGTATCTTTAGCATTCAGTTGTTCCCTCAATGTTATGTATGTCTGCATAACTCTTACACAATACCTTCTTCATGAGTCATCTTTCGTCTTTCTCATCCTGATCCATTTACTGTTCCGTGACTACACCTACCGTCATCTACTCCACCTCTTCCACCAGTAATTTTCTGCACTCTTCCACAAAGCGCAAACGCAAAGCTACGAGCTACCAACACTACGTGATCTCCTGCCATTCTTTCGATGACACTTTCTCGAGAGGACGCAGCGAACCAATATTCTATTCTCGTCAACCTCAACATCTATTCCTCAATTCTCGTAAGCAGCGTATTTCCACGTGAGGTGAGTCAGTCGTAGAGTTTATAGGGTCTCGGTAGTATTAGGAGGATTCAACTGATACATACTAACCCGTTGGATACCTTCCGGGTCCACTGTGATATGTTAGTAGCTACTCAGTAGTCCTGCGAAGGTTGTCTGGGTAGGCCATAAGCCGAACTTTCCAGCTAATACATAATGGCAATTTCACACGTCAGGAGACAATCACCGCTGCATGTCATCCTTTTCTTTGGTGCTTTACTACTCGTTCTCTTAACAGATGATAAGATCCCTATAGCGGGTAATTCACCAAGTTTTTAGCAATCTGTGGTCCAGAAAAGCAAGAGTGTATTGAAATTAGGTACAGTGAGTCGCAAATTGCGAAATACAGTATAACAGAGATAGGAGCGATGTGAAGTTCACTTGTCGTCTCAGTAACCCTCAAGATTACTTAGAGAGATGGCTCCATGTTTCAGATAACCATCTCTACTGGCAGTAAAGGTCGGAGGTCTTGCTGTCGAAGGGGCATGAATCAGGGGCCATGACAGCGAGCTGGTTCGAGTTAGCGGATTGCTATGATCAGGAAGCTTGTAACAGTGACTCACGTTGATGTAACCACCGTCACCCTCAGAGTTGAAGTGGTTGTCAGGGCCCCACATGAAGAAGCAGTCGTAGTCGGTGTTGAGGACACCAGACTTCAAGCGGACAGAGGTGAGCTCACGCATCTGGTTAGGCTTGGAGACCTTGTAGCCCATGTTGTAGCAGACAGCGGCCTCGTTGGGCTTAGCGCGCCTGGACATCTCGGCGGTGGTAGCTTTGGTGAAAGCCTCACGAGCCTGAGAAGCGACAAAGTTAGCTGGAAATCCGGGTATGGTGGATAGGAGTGCAGCTTACAGCAGTCCAATCGGCAACGTTCTTGATGGTGTTGAGAGCCTCAGTTGCGGAAACACCGACAACGGCAGAGGCAGCACCAGCGATGATGGCGATGGTAAGAGGGTCAAGACGCTTGTTGAGGGACCTCTCCTCAACTGTGCCGTTGTGAGGGTGGATAGGGGCGGTAGGGACAGCAACGGCGGCGCCGGCGAGGAGAGCGGTGACGAGAGTGAACTTCATTTTGAATGAGTGATGTAGCGAGTGAATCGGCTAGTGAATGAGGGAATGGTGCGGTAGTGGAAAGGACTGAAGGCTTGAATGCTGTGATGATGGATACTGGGGAGTACTTCCCCGTGTCTTATATACCCATCGTCTTGCGCCGATCGCGAACACATGTAGCAAAGATGGGTGATTCGGTCAAACTCTCGTTGTGATGTTGGTAAAGCCCTCAATCCTGACTACGCTATGTGGGCTGTTTCCATGAGGCTCTTGGCTCTAAGCTTAGAGTCGTGAGGCTGATCGGCTTGGCCAGGGAGATTACCGATATGTCTTGCAGATATGTCGCAAACACCTGGTATTCGGTAAGAAGTCAGGCCTCTCAAAGTTCGATTTGCTCTTCTGCCTCCAGCACTTCTCATCAGCAACTGTCAACCATACACTGCAACGCACATTCACTGCGATCAGATGCTTTTGGTAGGCGTTTGCTGCGACTTTGATCGCATTTGATTTCCAATGTTCATCGCATAGAAACGCGACGTCATTACATCCCAGGTACCCCAGAATCCAAGATAGTGGTTATGCGGTTAACCTACTCGAGTAGGCCGTGTGTCGTGGTCTACCCTTGGCGTCAGCATACTGTACCCGGGGACGCGCCGAATACCCGCTGCTAACCACAATGAGGTGAGATCGACACCGAGAATTAAGCCGTATGGCCATTTCGGTGATTCTCCTATAAAAAACGTATTCTTTCTGGCGCAATCTGCTGACATACGCTAGGGTCTGTACCGATTCAAACCGATCGAACAGCCTCAAAACAGTTGCAATGGTTGCTTGGCACAGTACACAAGTACGTACCACGTGCGTACGTGCGGTTATCACAATCATAGCAAGCATACTGGCTATCCCTAATGACTACTGTGATCGTCCGTTCTACTGCTGGCTAATCATATTAGTGCTATCACCTCGAGGCAGTTCTGTGATTCTACATTCTCAAAGACCAATGTGGTTAGCAATGTCAACGTGTATCGCCTCTATCTCGATATTTAGTACGAGATTCTCCACCACGCCCCTGAACTTACGGTGAGTTGGTATCGCTCGGTCTTGGGAACGATTCGTTGTACCTTGAGTAGAGAGAAATGCATCCGAGGAAGAGTTGTCGCATCGACGCTTATGGCACCTATGCACCGCTGCTAGAGCCTGCTCTTCGCGGAATGTCTTTTTTGGGGGTCGCAAGGCTTTGAATAGTGTTGCATGTAGAAGCCGTACATCAGAGGGGACGTATCTACCATGGATACGGGTTGGTGGGGTGAAGCGGGCCGGGGAGAAACAACGAGCGATCGTCATGAAGTGTGGATCAGTCAATAGCTAGTAAGTTAGACACAAAACTGAAAAACATGGAAGGATAGTAGAGACATCGCCACTACTCTCGCCCACCCCTAACAGCACTCTCTCCGCATACTCTCGAATATCTTTACTAATTTCTGTGCCTCCACTTCCTCACAAATCTCACCTGCTTCGAGCTTCTGCGAGAACTCCATGTGCTGTGCCACTTCAACGTTAGTAGCAAGGATATCGGTACCTTGTGCGAAGTCTTGCCACTGCTTTGAAGTAACACCCCGAAGATTTCTTAGACTCTGTCCAAGAAGAAGCTTCACTCGGTCGCACTGCGCAATGGAATGCTTCCCATCATTGATTGGAGCGTTATTCTTCGCTGCTTCGATTTCGTACTCGTCGTCTTCATGCCACTTTTTGAAGAGCTTAACGAGGAAGCGATCATCATATCGTGGCTTGAGTGGTGGGTTCATATGTGTTTCTCGTATGGACGTCAAGCGTGAAGTGTGCCGGCTCGTTGATTATAATGGGAGTATTGCAAGTCCTGATGTCAGTATTGTCTCCGCCGACTCTTCATCTTATTTTCTGCCATGCTCAGCAAGCGCGACGAAGTCTAGATACGGCACTCCTTCAACCCATTCCTCACGTGTGAAGGGCTTCTCGTAGAAAGCGTCTCGTGCGGGAAATCTAGTTGTCCCACGCTCTCAAGCCACTTAGCTCGCGGCCAACGCCTTTCATGCCGCTTCGCTCGTGCATTGAGGTCCATAAACGGGATGTATTTCGGCCACTTTGCTCGTGGCCCAAGCTCTTCTTGGTGATCCTTGAGCGCTGCGGAGTTCCAAGTACGGAACGGACGGCAGCCAGCGCGCTCTTGGCCAGCTTTTCTCTTGGTAGACTGCCAGAGCTGTTATGTTCAAGTAAGGCACTTCTGTTAGCCAGCTTTCCATGGTGTAAGCGTTGTGGTAGATATGTCCCAGCTTTCCAGGACTGCCTTTGAAAGCCGATCCAATCTGCTGGTGTGACTGAACTCGAGTTGGCGACGTATCGGCCCATGAGAGCACAAGACTGTTTCTTGAGTCAAACAACGCCAATTCTGAAAGCGCGCACTTTACGCCGCATCCTAAGAGCCTTGACGTCGTGTGCGCGCCGTGCCTTGCGCTTCGCCATTATGATCTTCATGTGGTGAACGCGCTTCCTGTACTGTTGTAGTCTAGTAGGTCAGCGCGAGACAACGCTATTGAGCCGGTATTGAAGGCGAGACGCTCGAAGCTGACACGATTTCACCACGTATAGTGCTCGAACCCGCAGCCTTAGTAAAGTCAGTGTCATCGAAAATAAATAGAAGCGCCATTACCGACCATGTTTGGATGCTTGGCTATATAGATAGCGAGCCGAGATAGCCGACTAGGTGGCCGAAGATGGAACGAGAGCTGAAGTGTCAGTGAAGTGACCATATTAGCTTCAGGCTGCCACGCCTTCGACATTGGTATCATCTGTGTCATAGTTATCGCGAGCCCCTTAAACATGTCTACTTTGCTGTACGTAGTACAGTACTGTTTCCATCTACAACGGTCGTAGCAAAGAAGCTTCTGTATCATATCTCATGTTAAGATCCAGGTCGGATTCCAAAACGACATCATATGTCAAGCGTATGAGTGACACCACACGAGAAAAGAAAGGGGATAATACTGATCGCGTGAACAAATTCAATTACCTAGTGTATTTCTGTTACTAGGCTTATCAAAGCTTCAGTGCTATACGGAGTAGCCATATAGGTCATGGCAGAACTACTGCCATGAGCTGCTCAGACTGGCACTCGCCTGGCATTTGGGCACGGTGTAGCTCCTGTTAGGATCACTCTCCCATGTGATCGTTCCACTGCTGCTAATCTTCACGAATTTGTATTGGATCGCTGAACCTGCTGCCAATGGCACGGTGATCGTCCAGACCGGGTTGCTGGCGGTGTAGCTGCTTGCTGAGAGAGTAAGACCGTTGGCTGGTGTCCAGTTACCCAGCTGCGCAGTGTTACCGGTGATCTTGATGGTGTCGCCAGGAACAGTGGTGATGCGGTGGGTGAAAGAAACCGAAACAGCTGTTGGGCAAGCAGTTGATGTGCCAGTAGCAGTAGCCGTCTTGGTGGTGAGAGTGGTTCCCGTGGTGGGAGTAGCAGTGCCAGCAACAAGAACGATGGGTTCGCCATTGCTGACGGTCACACAGATCTGACCGCTGCCGTCGGCAGTAACAGCAGCGCCGTTTCCGTAGACGTTGTTCCATTTTCCGTTGGCCTTCTGGGTGTTGAAGCAATGCTGCTGGTTGGAACTGCTTCCAGCATTTGTGGTGAGAACGATAAGGTTGCCACCTGCACGGCTCCAGGCGTAGGCGTTGTTCGCTACGTACAAGTGGGTGTGATCGTTACCGGCAAGACCTCCTGCAGACTTCCTTGCAGCAGTCAGCTTCTTGATGGCCTGGTAGAGATTCGCGTTAGTGTTGAAGCCGCTTCGCCAGAGGTCTTCTCGGTTGGCTGGGTCGTCACCACCGGCATAGCCTTGTTCGGTACCATAGTAGAGGATGGGAATTCCTCGCGCAAGGATGACATAAGCAAGGGCGTTCTTGAGCAGAGTCTGGTCGTTCTTTACGTTCAACCAACGCTTGTTGTCGTGATTGTCGAGGAAGGTACCGAGAGCGGATGGGTCAGGGAAAGTGTTGCTGACGGTGTTCATCATGTCTACAAGCGCCTGAGCGGAACCGGTCTGTTGGTAAAAGTTGTTCATGGGATAGTAGGTCGCGTAGTTCAGAAGACCAGGCATAAGCTTGGCGTACTCAGCAAGGTAAGTCGGGTTGCCATCGAACACTTCGCCGATGCTGTACACGCCAGTTGCAGCAGAGAAGCCGGGCCAGAAGTCTTTCTCAACGTGCTTGACGGTGTCGATTCGAACGCCATCGAAGCTGTATTCCTTGACAAGCCAAGAAACCCAAGTGTTCAACAGGCTGCGGATCTCCGTGGACTGGGTGTTGATGTCCGGGAGACCGGCAATCTGGCACTGCTCGATACTGCCCTGGTTGCTGTAGTTGATATCGCAGGCAGAGTGGTATGAGGATTGCTGGTTTAGTGGCGAAGGCTTGTTGTTGGTGATCGCACCTGGGCCCATGTGGTTGGCCACAACATCGACCATGACATAGATGCCCTGTAATGGATGAGTATACTTATAGTATGGGTGTCATCTGGATTTGCCATACCTTAGCATGAGCAGTGCTGACCAAGCTCTTCAAGTCGGCAGCAGAGCCGTAGTTTGAGTTGATCGAGTAGAGATCCTCAGCCCAGTAGCCATGGTATCCAGCAGCCTTGTCTGGGCGTTTGTTAGTACGGATTCTCTGCAGATGTTGACGGGGAAAACGTGCTTGCAACGACCGGGGTGATCCAGATGGCATCGAATCCTAGCCCCTTGATGTAGTCGAGTTTGGACTCAAGACCTTTGAAGGTTCCGCCGCAGTAGTTGCCAAGATTGCTGCATGCTCCGCCGCCAGTATCGCTACTGCTGCGAGCGATGCGGTCGGTGAGAACGAAGTAGATGCTGCGAGACTTCCAGGCGCTCGTGTCGGCAGCTGCGACAAGAGAGGTGAAGTAGAAGAGAGCAGTGGTGATGAGTTTGAAGAACAACATCTTGACTGACTCGATGCTTTTGCAAGCGGAGTTCTGAAGTCGTCAGGCTGTGATGTTTTCGTTCTGGATGAGGCCGGCCACTGGATTTATAGACGTGCCACGAGTGGGTATCACAAGGCCATACGCAGTCCCTCCGCTTACCCCACAATGTTTTGTGGACTCCGAATCGCGCTTGCCGGACGTTGCGGGTGACTTCAGCGCCTGTTCGCGATGGTCGACGATACTAAGAAATCGAAGCGTAGACGAAGAACGATGGTGTCGCGTCGGTCCGTCATGAACCCACTGAAAAAAGTGTAACTAGATGATCATCTTACAGTTGGCGATCTCTCGGGCCGAGTTGGAGGCGTCAAGTGTACCTCGTGGACGTCTGAAACATATCGGTGGATACAAGAGAACGGTCAGAGACCCGGATCAGGAAGCTGCGGGATGTTTAGCCATTGAGTTTGCCGTCTAGGCTGTAGTATTGGCGGAAGCACGCGTCGCGCTGTTTTCGCGTTTTGGCCCTAGGATGGACTAGAGGCTAAGAAGCTTCAGGGGAAATGAAGGAGGTTGCAGGGTTGAAATGATGATGCCAACGTAAGCGAGGTGATGTGCCTCGGGCCCCGGGCGTTAGCGTCATCACCACGATGGCGGAGCCCCGCATTCCGGTACTTAGCAACGTGCAAGTCAATTTAAGGTGCGGGCCGGATGCGTTTTGAGGTCTGATGACCGTCCTCTATACCCGCCAGCACGGCCTGAGCTTGCTGACACGCATTCATTCCGACAGCGACCCAATGAACGTTGAAGAGTTTTTCCGACCACGACCAAGTTGGCAAGACGCCGAAGAACGCTAGATGCTTCCATTAGAGCATGCACAGAAGGCGGATGGTGTCCGATATCTAGCTCATATACCTAGTCGACGAGGCCTGGGTTTGAGGATTTCCACGAATCCACGTGTTTACGGAGATTTCAAAAAACTGGAGCCGGACTTAGCAACGGATGACAGGGCGAAAAAAACCTGGAGTGCAGGCCTTGGAGGGCGGTAGCCATGTTAAGAACACATCACGGCCCTTTCAAGGCACCGCTTGATCAACGAGCCGACACCGATCCAATCGAAGCTAAACGTGTTACACAGGCACACGGAAAATTGAAGAGTGTAGACAAAGAACAAGACCCTCGTCTTGTGTTAGTATTCCCAGCGTTGCTCCTGGATCATTTGCATCTTCCGATCTATTGCTGTCTCAAGTTAGTCGATACTTTACTACCAAGAAAGCTAGATCCGTTTAAACCACCATATTCACAATCTCTTTGCCCTCTCCAACAATCTTTCCATTCTCACATCCAACTCCTTGACTACATCCCACGGCCTTAGTCCTCGCCCTACACCCACGCCCATGACCTGCGAATATACACTCGCCCAAGCCGGGTACTTCTCTCTCGGGTTCCTCGGCATGCATTCGTCCCTCCATTTCCGTTCTTCTCTCACCAATAGATCAATCCGCGCTAGCAACAGATGAATTTCTCGTAACGTGGGAACGCTAGCTGCGCGGCCGATGGTATGATGTTCTAAAGGGGACAGCAAACCTTCGGCAGCTTTCCATCGCGCTTCAGCAGCGAGGGCTAACTGGTCGAGGTCTGAAGCGCGTACAGTGAGTGAGTGGAGAAGGTCATCGTGTTCGGCCCAAGCGATATCGTCGTGAGGGGTGGTTGGTGGAAGGCTGAGCGGGTGACTGGTCGAGCCTTGAGGCGCGGAGGTTGAGGACCGTGGTGTTTGTGTTGTAGGGTCTCGAGATTGTGCTGATGACCGATGCGTGAAGACTGTGGAGTAGGGCGCAAAGTCGGAGGTATGTGGTGATGCGCCAACGGTAGAGTAAGGTGGCTGATCAGAGATACGTGCGGCTTGTGCAGATAAGCGGGAGTGGTAGAATAATGGTTTTGGTGTTAAGGTTGACACGTGTGAGGTTCGGTGTGAGGAATGAGAAGTTTGAACTGGAGATGGTGAGGCTTCCTGCGACGAGCGGGGACCCTGACTGTGCGATCCAGCTGAGCGATCAGCAGATACCCTGGATGAGAATTTCCGGAGCATTTCGCAAGGTAGTGTTGTGTACGTGTTAGGACGACTGTTGTATCTTGGGAATATTGTAAGAATACTGGGAGTAATGAGGTGGCGGAAGCGCGAAATTCACTGTGCTCTATCACTGGTCTTAGCTGTTTACATACAGATTGTACTTGTGAAGTGAATGGCACGGAACTATATTGAATGTTGCCAGGAGTATCTCAACAACATGGGCGAAAGAGCTCGTATTCTAATCCTCTACCGTAAAGGTATTCGTAATGTTTCACTCACGTAGTTTAATATGAGGTAGGATAACGTATACACCTACCTAAGGCATTAAACACAAATTTTTGATATGAAGCTTTCTTGTAGCAGTCTAACGTAGACTACCAGTCAAGATCAATAGAAAGCTAAGGTCGCCTTTACTCTGTACACGACGAAGTAGATTTGCATTGTGCATATGCTATGCTTGGCTAAGGTACATGAGATTGAGGTCAAGACCCCATATATAGAAGGGAAATATGCCAGTGACAGTCACGCGACAATGCTGACGCTAATTGCCCGACTCCATCTGCTTCCTCCACTTCAGGACGAAGGCCCTGCCTCGGTCCATACGCGCCTTCATTTCTGGAGGCATCGGGCCAAAACAAGCGGGCCTTTGTCTGCGGCGGTTGGCATGCGTGAGCTTACGTCGCTTCGACGCCTGTTCCTCCTCCTTCTTTTGTTCCTCCTCTTTCTTCTTGAGCTCGTTGCGCTCTCGCTTCTCTTCGAGTTCTTCTTTTGTAAACCGATCCGCGTATGTGATTCTCTTGTCTTGTCCCTCTTGGCCAGTCTTCTTTAGAAACTTCATATATTCGAAGTCATACCAAACAGAAATGCCTATCTTGCCAGTCTTACGCATGGTGGTGACGATCGAAGCTGGTACAGGGATCCTAAGGCCTTGAGCCTTGGACAACACAACCGCCATCTGCTTGGCTTCTTCAGCCGATTCCTTGTACGAGAAGTCGAAAAACTTGTGTGTGAGGTCTCGCGTGTTGAGGACGGCTGCGTTGGGAGGTGACACGGGCGTACCTGGGTTGCTCCCACCCGGTTGCGTTGGCGTCTCAGCTTTCTTTGGACTCGGCTTCGGCTTGGCCTCCGGCTCATTCTTGCGCTCCTCTTCTTCTTTTTGCTCCAGCTCTGTCTGCAGCTCGTCGCTGTACTTGATCTTGTATACCTTGACAGGGAAGTCTTCAAGCTGTTTCCCTTCCTTGTCGTGGACGGTCAACGCAATATGCATTCTTCGGTCATCGAGAGGTTCCTGGTTAAATTAGGGTTGGCTTCAGGCAGGCAGGTAGGACCAAGCGGGTTGCGTCTTACCTTGTTTACCATCTTGGTTTTTGTGATAGATTGTGTGACGTCGCGGCTGCTGAAGCGTATGACAGCACTGTTACCTGGTCTGGGTATATGATGGGATACGTGCTCAGGTGTGTGATGTAAGAAGAATGGAGCGAAGGGCAGGATGAGACGCGGTTTTATATCGTCTTTCCAGGGTCCAGGGTGAGAGAGACGAAGTGTATCGCTATTCATATAGAGTTGCGGGACCCACTTCCATATGTACAAGTAAAGGTGACTTTGAGTTTTGGATTTTTCTGACAGCTGCCTAGACAGTCTGCACAGCACATAAACTCACCCACATATTCTGCACATCTAGAATCTTCTTATTCCTAGTCGCCGAGGTCGCTCGTAGATGTGCAGCTAATCATCTCCCATTCAGTAAGATTCGCAAGGTCAGCGTCGTAATCTCACATACTCATGTTCTACAATGTTTTGTGTAGAGTAACAGCTTGTGCACTTAGAAGTATTTGAAGGTATATTAGCCATGTTCCGGCTGGCTCCTTGGGGTATCGTCCTTGAATATGCAATATCCTCATCTCGTTCCGTGTTGCTCCTATTTCTTGTGCACCAGACACAACAGCGACGCAAAGGGATCAACACCATTACGTTCAGCCTTGGTCTTCTCCGAATCCTTCTTTCTTGAGATGGTCGTAGCCAATGTTGGAGGCAGCTTCACAACGATCTTCTCTCTTGTCATCTCCATCTGCAGCATATGCCTCTGAGTGCATCTGTCCCCGGACTTCTTGATCTCCTCATTCGCTTGCCCCAGGCCCTGGGCAAAGCCGTCAGCAAAATCGACTTTCTTTCCGATCTCAATGCCGTGCTGCGTTCCGACTTCTTTGCCTTGCACCAGTCCCATCTTCAGTCCTTCTGCCTGCCCCTGTTCGAATGCGACTGCCAAGTCTTCCGTGATGCCGGTGCTTCTGCCCTCCTTGATGCCTTGAACGTATCCATAGTCTTTTCCAGCATGAAACCCACGATCGTAGGCTTCTTTGCGAGCCTTGGGCAGTAAGTCCCAAAGGGATATTGTTGCTGCGTCGGTCTGTACTGCGCATGAAGCTGCCAAGGTGGAAGTTTGGGTAGCCTGTGAGACCAAAGAGGCTGTGCCAGGATTAATGAGAGTTTGTAAAAGAGGTCGATGTGCATACTGGCATCGAAAAGGCGCAGGAGCGTCTCGTAGATCGCAAGCTATCCAATTAGTCAAGGCAGACGACAAGCCAAGACAAACTCGCCTGGGTCTGCTTCAGCTGCACCTCATCGAGGCTTTTGTCTTCTTCGTGAAGACCCGCGAGGAAAGTCTCAAGCGAGACACGATTGCGCTCGATCTTGTTGGCCTCGCGGGCGCTATCGAGCAGAACTTGCAAGCGGTCTGATGTGGGCATCATTGGCATGCTGTAAGTGTAGTGAGGTTGTTGACAAGGCAAGAGAATGGCTTAGGTAGAAGGAGCTGTCAACAAAGCTAGGGCTTGGCGAATATCAAACGGGTAGGCGGCATGGAGACGGCTTCACCTCTCATCGGGTATAATTATACGATAATCCATCCTGAATCACTCGAGTGGCTCGATTTACAGTTTGTTTGACTTCCACAACATCTATCAAGGCATCCATGCTCCGGTATGATTTGCGACTATCGTGGAACATCATGATCCACGACTTCTACATTGTTCCTACACTGGTCAGATGGATACAGTAACGACCGACTGGCAACGTCACTTACCCAACAGGATCCATTACAAAGGCAGCATAGTACTTGGCATGGTACTGGTGCCTCCATCCCGGCTTCCCATTGTCTTTCCCACCTGCTTTTACCGCCTCTTCATGGAATCTTTCCACTGTCTTTCTATCTGTACACCGGAACGCGACATGAGTAGCAGCTACTTCTGCATCCTCCTTGGCGGTAATAAAGAAAACGATGTTTGACCTGTCCGGACCTAGACCGACACTGTGGTTATGGAATTCCTTGTGTTTGCTGTAACCAAGCGGCGCGAGCGCGGTCAAGTACCAGGCTGTGACTTCTTCGAAACGCGATGTCGGAACGGTGATGCCAATGTGGTCAAGCATCGTGGAACAAAGGGGTATCTGGTGTATGAAGTACCACCAGAGGCCTACATATTTAACAGAACGATGGAACTCAAGATTGCTTACTTATCAATCGCAATTGATACGGCTTGGAAATCCGGATAGAGGCTGAGTGCGGGGCTTACTAGTCCATTTGCTCAGTAAGCACACGCGAAACCAGCTGCTTCTCAGGTGTCAGACTCGCGTAAGACTGTTTGGCGCAACTTTCTCTCAAGACAAAAGAAAATATAACATCTGAATTTACATTCAATCCAAAGTAACGTAGATGGACATGCGTATGGGGAACCATACAGAAAACTGACTAATAATACAAACATAGCACATGCTATACAATTCCAAACGGTTCGGCTCCGCGAGCTGCTCGTCTACGGTACAGTTCCTTCATAATCTCCATTTGGCTGCACCGCGACTAATAGTCAAACCGATCTGGCAGCACGAGAGGAGCGACCAACGTCCATGTGTAGATGCCGTAGCAGACCCATGCGCTAATGATCTTCGCCCAGCTGGCCCAGTATGTTCGTCCAACGGGGACGAAGCTACCAGACACATCCTTCTCGTCAAAGTTGGTGGTGAGGAGAGTAGCGACCCATGTTGTGCTGAGGAAGAAGATGATGTGGAAGAGAGTGTAGTTGTATTGCGTCGCGTTGCGCTCGTCATCGCGCGGGTTCTTCTTGCTAGAAGGCTCATCGTCCTCGTCCTCGCTGTCTGAGTCGTCGAGAGCAGAAGCGGGAAGCGAGCCGGATTCTATAGCGGCGCGCAGGGCAGCCTGGCGCATGTCGCGGCGGGATTCAGGTTGCTGTGTGACGAGACCATGCTCGTAGTCTTCAGTGCCGACTTGAGCGTAGCCATTTCCGTGAGGGTTGCCCTGGGCGCCAAGAGCGAGGCCGTACGTTGCCGCACGGGTGGTGGTGTAGGCAACAGTGACGAAAGTGACAATGGCGCCGATGATGATAGTCGCCTTACGGGTTCCACGGGCGCGGATCAAGGGGTTGCATTGATGGTCGTCAGGTTCCATGCCCACAGCGGACAAGGTGAGATAAGTGCAGTAGACGGCTACGATGGCGGACTGGGCGAGACCTGCTCGGGGGTTTACGTCCTGTACTGCGGGGTGAATCGATGCGACGGATGAAATCAGGAGCAGGATCAAGTTGATCTGTTGAGGTCAGCTAGCTTCGGAAAATATAGAGAGTTGCACTTACCGTGATAGCTGCCTGGTTCATGCCACATCCGCTCTTCGCAAAGAAAATGTACATGATTATGGTCATGGCGATCGAGGCGAGGTACATGGACATGGCACTACCAACAAGCATGCCTGTCCAGACGCGCGACTCGGTAGTCTCAATCTTCTCCTGGCAGTATTCGGCCCAGTTATGCGCTAGATCGACAAGCAGAATGAGTCCAATGAGAAGGAACAGACACGCGCCAATCATAGCAAAATAGTTGCCCCAGACGATGAAGAACGAGTTAGGGATGAAAAAGGTCAGAACGATCATGCCAATCCAGCCCATGATCTTGGGAAGCCAGAAACCGTTCTGTATGGTCGCGCGACCGTCTTTGGAAGACCGAACTCCGATGAGCATGAGCGCCATGATGACGTGGAAGAAACCGAGCGCGAAGTTGATGCGCTGTACTGCGACATATCCGTAACATTGCTCACCGTGGCATTTGATGTCGACGTAGTCCAGAGTGAGGTGAGCCAGCTTCTTCATAGCCCAATCGGTGAGCATGATCCATGAAACAATCGAGTTGACCAGAAGGATAAGCGCGTATGCGATACGGGTGGCGATGCTACGGGACAGTCAGTACACGTTCGCACATATCGCCCAACGCTCGCAAGCAGTACCTGTTACCGCATTTCCCTCCGCAAGAGCCCATGACGGCGCTGCATGTCGCGGCGCCACAGCAGGAGGCGGCAACGCTCCAAACCTGGCCATGTTAGCGGCGCGCAATCGCGATGGAGCGTGTCAACATACCGTGCCCATGGCGGGCATGGCCAGAAAGGGTACAGATAGTAAGGCGCCCATGGTTGAGATGCGCTGAGTCGCCTATGTGGTGTTGTGGAGAAGCTGGGGAGGCACGAGGACGAGGCCGGTGACGTTCGCGCGCTTGCATTGCGGCTCCTTCCGCCAAGTCCAGCGCCTTGGCCGCCTTATCTCCGATCAGCTGCAATGGCCATGCTTCACTTGCACTCTCCCATCCACTCTTCAGACATCGGTGTGGTGTCTCGGGGCCCCGCCTGACTTTGTGTTTGTTTCGTACTATAGACTTCCTTCACGTCGCTCTTTTCCGTGCGCCTTATCTTGCATATCTTTACCTGCGGCATCTGCTTCTCGGCTTAGCAAGTGCCGATATCAGCTCCAGTCCGCTGCGATTGCGCAACTCGACGTCTCCCGCATTCGATGATCAGCACTTTGCAATAACACCTCATTCACACTGACCAAGATGGTCGCCGAAGAACAGCCCTCCACACACAAGAAGACGCGCATTATTTCTGTTGTTGCTGCGACCGCAATCGCGCTTGCCTGTGGCACAAATGTACGTATCCGTCATACATCTGAAGCGGGATGCTAATGAGCCTCAGTATGCCTACTCAGCATGGGCACCACAGTTCGCCGATAAGCTTCAACTCTCCGCGACCCAGAGCAATGTCGTCGTATGTCACCCTGTATGCCGACCCAATACGAACTTCGTCTTACAATCCTAGGGCACGGCTGCCAACTTGGGCATGTATGCGTCTGGCATACCCATGGGCATCATAACGGACCGGAAGAGCCCCAGACTTGCCGCCGTTATTGGAACGTTTGCGCTCTTTGCAGGCTACTATCCCATCAAGCTTGGTAGGATATCCCATACCCGGTTGTTAGATCAACGTCTGACTGTTGGCAGCGTACGATGGAGGACCAGGCTACATGAGCGTTGCTCTGATATCCTTTTGTTCCTTCTTGAGTGGTGTGGGCAGCTGTGCTGCATTCCAGGCCGCTCTAAAGACAGGTAAAAATCTCGACAACCTTTGGAGGACGTCTGCTGATCTTGATAGCGACGCTCAACTGGCCAACCCATCGCGGATCGGCCACCGCTTGCCCATTGGCAGCTTTTGGCTTGAGCGCCTTTTTCTACACTCTAATCGCCGGCATAGCATTCCCAGGCGATACATCCGGACTGCTCATGATGCTTTCTCTTGCGACCTCACTAGTCGTTCTAGTATCGATACCCTTCCTAATCGTCGTCGACCACAAAGCTGGCACTGGCTATGCTGTCCTACCTACCAGCGAACGTGTGCGACGCAATTCCAACGTCCTCCATAAGACAAAATCCAACGGAACCAGGTACAAGTCATCTGCTCTCCCACAACAGGAAATCAGTAAGCAATCCTTTCCTTTCCCACCTCCGTTTCCCCCCTGTCACCTGCCAACCGCTTCTAGCAGCCGAAGAAGAACAGGATCGACCATCAACCGAAACCTCGTCTCTCTTATCTTCTGGTCCTGGCGACATCATCGACGGTGACGACGACGCAGCAAGCAAGAAGTCGACTAAGTCATGTATAGATATCACTGGGCTGGCACTCTTGAGCAAATCAGAATTCTGGCAACTGTGGGTACTTATGGGTCTGCTGACGGGTGTCGGCTTAATGACCATCAAGTACGTATCCTCTGAATCTTATGTGTCATCACTGCTGATCAGTACAGCAACATCGGCCACGATGTCCAGGCCCTCTGGAAACACTGGGATGACTCGATCAAGAACGATTTCGTCGCTCATCGACAACTTTGGCATGTCTCGATGATCTCGCTCTGTTCATTCCTAGGACGTCTATCTTCTGGAATCGGTTCCGATTTCATCGTCAAGAGACTGCATCACTCGCGATTTTGGTGTGCTGCCATTTCAGCCACCATTTTTGCTCTGGCTCAGGTCGCTGCCATACGCGTTGAAGACCCGCATCATTTGTGGGCTGTATCTGGACTCTCCGGCCTCGCATATGGTGTCTTGTTTGGCGTTTTCCCGGCGCTTGTCGTCGATGCTTTCGGCCCCGATGGCTTCGCTGTCAACTGGGGTTTTATGACTTTGGCACCCGTCGTGAGCGGCAACGTCTACAATCTCTTCTATGGTGCTGTATATGACTCTAACTCAGTGGTGGAACCGGATGGTCAACGCGGATGTGAGCTGGGGCTCAAGTGTTACCGAACGGCGTACTATGTTACTCTCACATCGAGCATATTGGGCATCTTTGCTTGTTTCTGGGGTATTTACGGCGAGCATGTAAGGAAGAGGCGTGAGTTGGAAGAGCATGATGGACATAGAGATGCTTGATCTTGTCTCATTATTTCAGGTCAAACTAGTATGGAGGCGATTATAGAACGTATCCATGATCCTATCTAGGCGTGTGGTCGTTCGTGGCTCTTCTGTCACGCCAGGGTTATACCCAGGGATTCGAGCCGTGACATTTATTAGACCATCTTCTCGTAGTGTAGATGTTGCCACTATACACAACCCAGTGATCCTTCCAACATCCACCATCGTTTTTGACAACCGGGTTGAGATATCTGAGTCGCACCAGCCTCTACTCTTCTTGTAGCGAACCCAAGCTGAACATCTCATTGGACGAATACAACGAGCACTGCCTGCCTTCATGTATAATGTTCTCATGTCCATGAAAAGTTTCGCCTCCTTCTTCATTTACCTCGTGACTGGTGTGACAACGACTGCTTGGCTACATGTAGGCTCGGCAGCCGTAGATGTGGCTTCCATACATGCGCTGTGCATGTAAGACACGAACGATGGATGATAATGGCTCCGCAAGTTGGTACAGTCAGTAGTTGAATACATCATATTCTCAGAGAGAAACAGAAATGTAGTTTCTCATCCGGTATCAGCAGACGCTTTGGGCTTGGCCTTTGATCCGGTAGGTCTCCCCACTCTCCCACAGCGTACGATTGGTGGACGTAATCTAGGACGACCGACAGGGCGCTTCGAGACAATGGGTACGAGTTCTGGCGGTGGAGGCTTAGATTTAGTCTGCTGACGCTTGGATTTGTCCCTCGATCCTGAGGGCCTTCCTGTAATGTGGCCAGTGGTTGGCACCTTGATATTCTCTGGGATCCGGCCACCGCGTGGAATAGGCTCCCTTTGCGACCATGTTTTCACAGGTCGACCAACAGGTCTAGGCTTCTTGACAACTTTCTCAGCCATCGCTTCCTTTGTAGAACCCTTTGGACGGCCTCGGGGTTTCTTCTCTACTTCGACAACAGGAAGGTCTTCCTCTTCACTGGGTGTAATCTGGCGGATAAGTTTGACGGTTTCCTGGTCAAGAGTGACTCTGTCTGGGAAGATAGGCGAGCCCATCCAGGTCAGCTGGATATCTTTTATGGTCCCTGCGTTCTTGAACTTGGCCCGGATCTTCGTTGATACCTTTTCGTCCTCGTCTACTTCCTCCCCAGGCTCGACCAGTAGAGCCCGCGGAGTATGCCTCAATGTGACACCCACTCCTTCTAGTCCTTTTTCGGATGCCATCCGGTTCCAGACGAATTGCTCGATCAATCCTTCCCGAGAAACGAGTACAAATCCCATAGGCCACTGACTCTGTCCTAGAGCCCTCAAGACACCCGTCGTCGCCTTCTTTGTCGTGACCAACAAGCCCATAACATCCTTGTTTCGCCAGGCTGGTGGTATTCCTTGGAACGATCCTTCGAGTTCGCGAATGTGGCCCGGGTTGCAGCTGATTTTGCGTGACTTGCACTGTACGATGATAGGCATGGGTTCTCTTAGAGGCGTCAGCACCCAATGGCCTATCAAATCTATGCCCGCATCTCCCCCACGGCCTACGCGTATGAGGGAGAAGCCTAGACGCATGAGCGCCAGTGCAGACATGTATTCATACAGCGTACCGACAGAGACAGCCGACGCCAATGATCTGCCAGTACGTTCCGCCCATTCGAGGAAAGAAGGAAGCGAGTTGTGATGTTTCGAGCCAGGCGAAACTACCAAGCTGGGGACATCAACGGGTGCGGCATGGCGAGCAGAAGTGGTCGCGATTCGGTGCGAGACGCGGTGCGGAGTAGTCCTGGGGAGCCATGCGAGGATGGGACTTCGTTTGGGCCATGATGGGCGGAGGAAAGGTCGCATCACGGTATCCTGAAAGAGCGCCCGGGGTGTGACATATTTGAAGCGACTTGACGCGGCCGAGGGTCAGAGCCGGTGTCTGGCGTTGGTGAGGGTGGAGTAGAGGGAAGGAGGATTCGCGTATATTTTGAGGGTTCAGTGACGCGCTAGGCTAGCTCCACCGCCATCCCTGCCTGTCGCATCCCACCCCTCGTACTCTCTTTCAACAAACACACTCAGTCTGAAGTCGCCAGATCTTTTCCTCTGCTAACCCTCTCGGTATCCCATTGAAAGCGATCGCATCGCACCCCCTACTAGACCCGTACGAACCTGCTACCATGGGCGACATTCTCACTCAAATCCAAGATGAACTGGACATGGTACTGCCCATACAAATAACGGAACGTGTCTCGTGCTGATAAAGACAGCTCCTGAACCAGATGTCAGCAGCTCTACGCGAAATTCGCGAGAATGCCCCACCAAGCGTTCCCCCAGGCCAACCACGCCTCGACACTTTCGCGGAACTGGAAGCTCGCACCGCTGCCGAAAACGCCCAGCAGAACCCCACGACAGATGCCTCACAGCAGGCAACTGCGCCTCCGGCCAGATCTTCCCCGGAACAGTTTCAAAAAGATCTCAAGGAGCTCGCACAAGACATAACGTTGAAGGAACAGCAGATTGAGAGACTGATCGCACACCTGCCGGGTTTGAATTGGAGCGAGAAGGAACAAGTAGAGAGGATGAAAGAACTCGAGAGACAACTGGAAGATTTGGAGGGGGAGAGGATAAAGGCAGTCAAGGATAAGGACACCTTGATGAAGATTGTAGAAGACAAGATAGCAGGCGTAGGCAGGGTTCGATGAGCTATTGATCTGCCAAAGCAGGCATCCTTGGCGACGGCGACGGTTTACATCAACCCCATACGGATTGCTCCACTCCGGATATTATGGATTTAGGGGATTGAGGCTTGAACCTACCGTCAACGGAGCCGCAACAAACATGCTTCAGGAATACCAGGAACCGTCTTCTCGCCAAAACACACCACTCAATACCCTTGGCGAACTTGACTGAAACTACAACTTCTCTTTGGAGAACGACACGGATACGGACTTGGTATCGCTACGAGGGTGTTCAGGAGTTTGATGACTAAGCACGAACGTATCTACGACGTCCCTTGGGCGGTCGCGGATGCGGAGAGCTTCGACAGGTTTATCGGATCTCAGGGACCAGTGAGCTAGTACATGCCTAAGCTGCTAGCTACACAAGCGGGCCCGCTCTTGCTTGCCAACTCTACGTATACTGTGGAAAATCTCCAGAGCGTAAAAGATGATTGGTGGAGAAGGACGTATAGTCATTTTAACGGCCTAGTAAGCGACAACAGCACGCTTGAATTGCTAGCAGTTGCTCGGGATGTTGCGGAGAATTTGCCAGAATAAGCGTGGGATCATTGCAATCAGGAGCCACAGACAGAGAAGAGAAAGACATAAGAAGATTGTTTGTCAACACGGAAGATGCGATGCGCCTCGATCCATTAGACCTGCCCTGGCACCGCCTTGTGCCTATCACTTCTACAAACACACCATAGCGTTTTTCTAAAGTCCCTCCACCCACGCAAACTAAAATATGTTGCTCGTTTAAATCTCGCACTTAGTCGCTCTTCTCGATATCAGTCTTGGACACGATGTGATAACCACCAACGTCGTCGCTCTTAACTTTGACCATACCACACTCGCTCAACCACAGGCTATTCACCGATGTATCAACGTCCTCAACATGGTAAACCTTTTTTGGTGTCACTGATCTCCTTACGATCATGTATTCGGGTCTTCCGCTACTCTTCTTCACCTGTCTATCCTCGTCATCACTGTCCACCGGCTGCGCAGGCTCGTGGATACCCTCAGAACTCTTGACTCTGAAAAATCTACCAAACAAAGATGTAATTCTCGACTTTGACTCTTTTCCCGCAGCTACTCGTTTCGCCGCCTTCTCGTCTTTACGGTCTAGACGTCTATCGCGGCGTTTTTGCCGTCGGACCTGACCTTCAAGTCGCTGGATCTCGTGGGCTTCTTCGCGTGAAGTGGCTTGCGCGAGCTCATCCGGGTCATCGAAGAGGCCATAGGTGCCGGTGTGTGCTTGGCCGTGGGGATCTGTCGGCATTGTGAGCGTGAAAGATGGCTGGTATGGTGGGATGAAGCCCTGTGCTTTGGAAAAGGCTGGTGCTGAGATCGCGTGAGCTGTACGTGGGGTATGCTGGTATGAAAGTTGAGCGCTGGCCTCGCTGATGACTCTCCGCGATGACGATGGTAGTACAGGTGGCGTGGGGATAGTAGGCGCATGAGACAACCAATTGTCATGGTATATGACATGATTGCCACACCATTACTGTCCGCCAGGTAAACACAAAGTCGTAAATCATGGAATCACAGAACAGCGCATCACACAAGTCGTTGTCATGCTCCTCTGACTCACATCAACTTACCACCTTTGGAGACTCTGGAGCATGGCGAGCGTCACTTTATCAGCAAATTAGCCTCGTCTATGTTTCGAAGCAAACCAAACAAATACCTCCTATTATTGCACTTTCCTACCACCCACTAAAGCCTCCTGAGCATCCCTGACCAACCCTTCCAGTGCGTCCACCTCCCACTCCATTTGTCTTCCATACTCCCCTTCTGAGCGAACTCCACTACGATACACTCTTGCAAACTGTTTGAAACGCTCTGTAGCCATCAATAGTTGTGGTCTGTATTCTTCAATCTTGGCTAGCATCTGCATATTGAAGGGCTCAGGTACGACGCGGTAGTAGGTTTCTTGCATGACGGCCAGGAGCTCGTTGGCTAGGCATGTGACTCTTTCGTAGTGGATGAAGAGGGTTTGCAGGGCACTTTGAGGAGAGCGTTGGCGCGGTGGCGTGTATAGGGATAGGGGGTTAAACGGAGTGTTACAGGGGATATTCGACCGTTCGGTAGGTCTGGAGTTTGTATTGTGGATGTTGTTGCAGCGTTGGGACTGGGACTTTTGTTGGAGAGCCATGCAGGTGTGTTTGATGCTAGAAAGTTAGTAGCTACGGAGAGCGTTCAGGATCTGTTTGCAGGCATCGAGTGGACGAGCTGTAGGGTATCTGACGAGGACTTGAGTCAAAGTTATCCTGATGTGAACGTACATGACGTGTTCCGTTCAAGTCAAGCGATGCACTTTTGCATTTGACATCATTTCCGTAGCAGCTTTGGTCATTCTTGTAAGAAACTTGATAGTAATAATTGTTCTGGTTGTCCCTAGTGCTTGTTCCAATCCAATAAACGCCGAGATGTGCCAACCCCATCTTTACCCATAACACCACGCAATTCCCCTATAGTTATCATTTTGAAGCAAGTGAAAATCTTATCTTACAGCACGTCTACTGATGTATCTGGCTGACGTGGCCAGCCTGACCAGCACCACCCCACTCACTGTCGTCATCACTGCCAACATCTGTCCAGGAAGTGGGTGTCATGATGCCTTGTCTGTCATTGTCGAACTCGCTGAAGCCGCCCTCTGAAAAAGCATCTGTGAAGCCGCCTTCGGAACGCGCGTCGTGGTCTGTGTCGTTCTGTTCGCTGTTCGGCATGCTAAGGATGGCGACATCGTTGGCTTGACTGTCGGTGATCGAGGCAGCACTCATGGTCATTGAACGCTCGGAGCGGGGCGTCAGGGTACCGGTGGAGAGGTGCTCAGCGTCGTCATCGAAGAATGGGTGAGATGGAGCAGGTTCGCCTGCTTCCGAGGTGGATGATGTGAAGGAGTAGAAGGATTGCGCGGCTTGGTCAACGTCATCCTGTGCGGGCTGCGCGGGCGAAGAGGTCTCAGGAATGGAAGTCTCAGGGTCGGGTGTGAGGTCGACGAGTGTACCAGTGGTGGGTGTTGAGACGACCTCAGGCTGAATGGTAGCAGAGCTTTCGCGAGTGGCAGGTTCTTCGTAAGTGAACTCTTTGGGTGCGGGTGCGTCTTCGTCGTAGTCATGGTCGAATAGTACTTGGTCGTCAGAGAAGGGGTTGGCCATGGCAGCAGCGGCAGCCGAGCCGGCGGCAAAGCCAGCAGCACCGCGCTTCTTGAGGTTGCCATTCGAGTTGTCCGTACCAGTTGCCGTTGCGTTGTCCCTGAGCATGCCATCACTGCCAACCATGTCATCGAAGCTTCTCGTCCGATCAGCCCTCGACCTCTTTGCAGCCACCTCGGCCGTCTCAGCGCCGATCCTAGCCAGTTCATCCAGATCGACAGCAACGCCCTCTTCCCTTGCCCGTCTGATCAGTTCGTTCCTGTTTCTCCTAACCAACTCCTCTCTTCTACGCTTCCTCGCTTCGAAGTCATCGGACGATTCGCTCGGGCGGCGAGGCTGAATGTCATCGCCGAGGTTGTGCAGCGCGACGGCGATCTTGCGACGGGTCTGGTCGGCCCATTGTCGGACTTGAGGCGATTCGTAGATGGCGATTCCGGCGGCGACGATAACGGACGCGGCGATTATGAGGCCTGATGTGAAGGGATGGTTAGGACGATGCGGCGGGGTTTGAGTGTTGCCTGGCGAAGACGCGAAGCACGAGCCGGGGCCTGCAAGCAGGTTGGCATAGGAAAACAGAGATATGAACAGACTCGGGATAGGAAGGGAGGAATAGTGAAGTCGCTGGGGCAGCACTACAGCGACGTGCATAAGTGGAGTTATTCGTACTCACCTTTGGCCAGTGGCGCAGGCATGGCTGCGGACTCTTGTAGCAGCGGGTGCAGTCTGCTATTCAGAGAAACCCTTGAGAAGTGCAGGGGAAAGGAGGAAAGGAACAAACCCAAAAGTTTTTGTCCTTGAGCGAGCGTGTAAGGAGAGAAGGCTCGAGAGCTGGGGAGAGCAGTCGGTGGTTAGGTCATCGCCACTTGCACAGCCGCACCATGCAGGGCCCGTGGAGCTCCGGGCGGCTTTTGGTGGGGTCGCGTGCCGCTATCTTGCTGCATGCGAAGCCTATCGCCCCGCGTCCGCGAGACTAACTTCACAACCATTCCCCTATAATGAGCATAGCTTGGACTTGGTTGCGCACATTTCCAGGTGTGCACAACACATCTAGCAGGCACTCTGCAATTGTGAACAAGGTTGCGGTAGAATGATTTATGACATGTCATGGAACTCCAGAATTATGCACGCTGAATAATATTGGATTTCTTGGAGTTATAAGAGGACGCAAAGCCGTTAAGAAGATCAAACAAAAAGCACGCCGATTCCTATAAAGTAAGCTGTAGCCATGATGACCAGCCCTAATTTCTGGACATTGCGGAAACCCATTCCGAATAGCCTCCATGTGTAGCCTGAAATCTAGATAAGTTCAGCCTCGTATGCCTTCGCTTGTAAACACTTTTTCTTATTTTACCAGATACTGACAAGACTGGGTATCGCAAGAGCAGCAAAGAAGATAGGACTGATTGGAGTGAAAAGTCAAATATGAAGCAAAGAGGAAATGGTGATGGTGGTAGTCGAGCGAGAGCTGATAGAAGGTGTGGAAGGAGGATATTTGGAAAAGGTGATCATTCAGATGTGTCGCACTGTGTCGTCAAGAACGAAATTTCCAGTCCGAATGAACGTGCTGTACGATGTGTACGGAGGAGACGCGACGAGCAACATAGCTCAGATGTCGTCATCAGATTCTGAATCATCTTCAGTATCGGGAGTGGAGTCGGAGTCTGAATTGTTACCGGAGTCAGAGCTGTCATCAGGATCGGAACGTCTGGCACGCTTCATATGGCCCATGATGACATTAGTGATAAGGTTGGCGGTGGTCTTTTCATCGTCGTGGCAACGCTTGTCGCCGGCTTTTGCGAGACGATATGGGCGATAGTCTTTCAGATTAGGGTTGTGATCCCAACGGTTGGTGTTGTAGTTCCAGTAGTACTTTTCGGGACATCCACGAGCGCGAACAGGTTCAGCCGTCTTCGAAGTATGCAGAATCGCTCCATCATGAGGCATAGCCTTGATGATGATTGACTTTGGAATACCGCCGACAGCCAACCATTCGTTCTTGTGTTTGGGCGCTGCCATTACGTCCAGATCCGACGCCCTTAGCTCATTCAATGAAAACCAGAACATGCCGCCAGCTCTCAAGACGTCGTCTACTGTACAGTCTGAACGCTTGTGTGAATCTCCTTCGTCAGGTGTCTTGTCGAGAATCCAGATAGGAATCTCGAGACCGAAGGAGCGTTTAGTGTCACTCCGAATAGTAACATCGAGGTGCTCAGGGTCATGCGTGTTGATGGTTGTTGACATATTAGCAGTCAGGGTCGCAGGAACAAGCCTCGAGATGTCGATAGAGGTGATGACAAGACAACGTGCAACCTTTTTGGATGTATCATGGATACGCTTTAATTCCTTCACCGCGAAATCTGATAACTGTTAGTGCTCAATGTGTATGACACTTGCACACAGGACTTACTAAGTTCACTGGTTGTAGAGATGTATGGAGTTGGATTGATAATCTTCTTCGCGTTAAGCTGTCTCTCGATGCGCTCTTTTGTGATGTCTAACTCCGGCTTGAAAGTACCGGAAGCCTGGAAGGCATTCTCCTTCTTGAGCTTCGAAGTCAGGTTTTCGGGATGCGCACTGTGTTTAATTCTTGAGACGTTGCTTGCCAGTGTACCGTTCTTCTCATGGGACCACCGGTATACCTTCTCCGGGCGGCCAGCTTTGGCGCGGTCGCGTGCTGATTGATCACCAAAGGTTCTTGAGGAGATTAGCTAGCTAACACTTCGTGAAGAAGAGATGGAAAACACTTACAAGTTTAGAGGACCGGTGAGGATAGAAGTAGTTGACGTCCTCTCTTTTGGATCTTCAGGTAGAACTCGAGGTTTATCAGTAGGAGGTCGATTGTTGGCACCTGATGAAGCCATCTTGCAACCTGAGAAGTATTGAAGGTCGTTCGTACAGACACCGGTGGGGGCAGTTGCAAGAGCTCTTGGCCTTAAGGACTAGAAGTTGGGAAGAAGGTTGAGGATCGTATTTGCAGTGGCAGAAGTTAGATGAATGGAACCCAGTCTTTATATATGTATGGAAGTGGTGGGTTCCAAGACGACTGGACGTTAGCGAGCCGCCAGGTGGTGGAAGCTTAAGTAAAGTCAGCCTTGACGATACATTCAGTAGTAATAGAGGATACTGGATTCGTGTTCCAAGGTGAGAGTAAAGTTGGGTCAATATGGCGAAGCTTGAATGAGAGAATGTTAACGCCTTAGCCATGAGAAAATTTTGAGTATGTACAAAGCTGACAAGTAAGCCAGATACCAGTAGCTCAGCAAGGCCAATGAAGAATCCCCGGGTCGTCAAGGTCGACGATGTATTGGATGTGTTTCTGAACGCAGACTATCTTTTCCTCAAGATCTTAAAAAAGATAGCTAAAGATCTGGGCTCATCATATGAACTGAAGCAGACGCTTTCGAATAATGCTGGAAAATATATGCGTAACTCTAAAGATACTCGACAGGTCCATGTGCTGTTGCCTGGTGAGACTGCAGCTCGGAGCATACGTCGAAACGTCGCACGGATGTTCAAGATCTTTCATGTCAGCCGGAATTAGGGTATTGCGCTTATGCAAGGTCATTTGCTATCTGCAGCAACGTGCTGTTCTCCGATGCCGCATGCTTAAAACCAACTCTAAGCCGACTGCGAACTCCAACTCCTGTGCCCAAGAAACCTCTTAATCAGCTCTGGCCTATGCCTCTCCCTTCCAACATCGCGCAAAGTTTCCTTAACGAACGCATCCGGCCTCCACACATTTCTAACTGTGTAATACAATCGTCGGACCGTCGCCGTGTCTTCATCACCCCAATCTAAACTCCAGTCCGCCTTCACGCCAGGCGCATAGTAGGACAATTCGAAGAACCCCACTTCATATCCGATTTCGCACTCGAGCATAAAGCTTTCGAGGACAGGCATCTGCTGCGTCGCCTTTGCAAAGGCGATGAGGAACTGGTCTAGCGTGTCTCGATTACCGTGCTGCATGAATTGAGTGTCCTCCTTGTCCCTCGGGGTGCCAACGAAGTACCAGGTACCAGAAGGCGCGACGGGGTTGAACGATATCTTGAGCTTCTTGAGCGAGGGCCACAATGGCATGGCGCACGATTCGTGGATAGAGGGCCGGAACAGCGCCGCGTCGACATAAGCATCCAGGATGAAGGTTGTAAGATTCTGAGAGAAGACGCGTAACGATACGCTAAACAGATCGAAGAGTGTGCCCTGTAGGAGACTAGAGGAGGTAGCTTCACGGTGATCGAACGGCGCTTCCTGGTGGAAATTGAACATTGCTACTGAGCTAGCCGGAAGCTTCGTTTACTCAAGTAACCTTGCGAAATTTGATCTTCTCTCAACGCTGGCCGATTGTGCACCCTCTTCGTAGAATTCTGCGTAAATGTGCTTCAGACCAGGCAGAATTGACATGAGCTGGGGCCCAACGGAAGGCGATATCTTTCGGCTGTAATTGCCCTGTATCTGGAAATAGCTAATTCGCGAAACTGTAGGTATTCTGTCCATCTCGGACAGCGTGAGATAGGCAGTAGCAAACCGACTCTCGGAATCGTAACAACCGCTCGGGGACTTTGGAGCCGTTAGGTTGAATCGTAACTCGGAAAGAACACCTGCGTCCTCTCATTGCCTCAAGGTTGAGAAAAGTTCAGCAATGCTATGGGTGAAAATTTCGTTGTTGGTCTCTTGCTCCTCACTGCTCTCCATGCGATTGCCCTGCTCTTCCGGATATTCTGGAAGCAGGATGCTGTACTTCAAGTTCCTCAAATATTTTCACCTATTGAGTGTTACAATGGTCCGCAGTTCGCCCAGATCTTCGCTTTTGATGTCTAGTCGATGGAATGTAATGAACTCAACAGCCTCCTTCCATTGCGAGGATATTGTAGCAAAAGGTGGCAGTGCTGACGACTTGACGACCACCCCTTGTTGTAAGATATTGGGAACCCCTTCTCGATCTGGATACTGATCGAGAAACATCACTATCTGGTTAATGATCTCTTGAGGTAGGCGGTCTATTGTGAAGAAGACGCCCTGAGATTTAGTAGAATGCCACTCAGGAACAATGCTTTGAAATAGGTAGACGTGAGTTCTGAGCATGGAGGTGTGAACAGCGGTGCGCTCTTAAAGTCTTAAACTGACAGAAACGCACTCGTCCGCGACAACTCAAGCGATAAGCGGGTCGATTAGATGGATGCGGAGTTACAGACCCAAGAGATGGAGTTGGAGAAGAAAGAAGAGGCCGCTGCGAAGTTTGGGTGGAGCCAGAGGAGAAGAGGAATCTCTTGAGTCTGTTCTTGGATGAGGGCGGAAACGCAAAAGTACGAACGGCATGCAACGAATCAACAGATATAATTACGGCAATGGAGTACCTGTTTCAAGATCGAGGAAGCACTGCTTGGTGAGAGACGGGGAGTACCAGAAGCAACATCTCTAGTCTCTACATATCTCAAACTGAGCAGGGAAGGAAGCTCGGGAGATAGCCTGCTTGTCCGCGGCTGGGTTCGACCTAGGAGTCAAAGGATGCATACAAACAAAGCTAAACCTTCGGTGATCAACGTCACTTTATCGCGATGCGATCAGAATACCATTTGTGGTGAGACGAAGGTCGAGCTTGCTCGTACTAGCCCACCCTCCGCCAAGAGCTGCGCGTGTCTGATTGGCGGTCGCAACCGCGTCTCAGCGAGCTGCCACTTGCGACACGCAGCACTCGGACGTTCCACCACCACCTTCCTGATTATCACAATCAGACGTCTCTCGCTGTAGCTACAATGAGCTCGTCTATAGAGACCGAGATTCTGAACAAGTACAATCTCACGACACTGTACCCCGCAACCTGGCCAGAAGAGAAGGACGAGGCCGACGAAGAGGATACGTTCGACGAGCCGGTGCCCAAAGCTACCCCACAAGCGATACGCCGGTCCAAGTCGCGATACTCGGTATTAGAGCCTAGCTCAAGATACTCACGGCAAGTGCCGGGTGCAGAACGATCCAAAGATGGCGTGGAGACATTGGTGCAGAAGGACGAGCAGGACCCGTTGGGCATGTACCCGAGTGTAGTGCAAGTGCTGCGGGCAAAGAACATTCAGGTCGAGGATGATATCAAGCTGCGTACGTTTCAGCGATATAGCAATACACACACGGCCTGTCTAATAGACATACAGGCAACCGCTTCCTCTTGAGCTCCACTACCTTCTCGCCCTCTCTTTTCCTTTCGCAAGTCCACAATGAAGCCTCCACCGATTCCCTTCTCGCCGGCCTTGACTTTCTTTCCCGCTCTATCGAAAAGAAGTCAGCTTCGCTCAAAGTCCTCGTCGAATCCAACTTCGACCGCTTCGTAGGCGCCAAAGCTACCATCGACCGTGTATACAATGAGATGCGGGACCAAGGGAAGGAGCAGCCAGAGGCGCCCAAGGCCTTACAGCCAGGCAGGGAGAGGAGCCGCTCGAGCTTCTCAGGCCGAAAGACAAGCGCATCTCTGCCACCCGCCATGCTGGACTCTGTGCCGACAGAGAAACGGAAGAATGCGCTTGTAAAGGAGAGCGAATACGGTGTGCATGGCATCAAGGTTCCTCTGACCGAGGTCGCCGTCAAAGCGGAAGAAGTCTGGGGCCCTGCACTGAACGGACGTGAAAGGGAAGAGACATTGAAGTCCATTATGGAGTCAGTGGAGCACCACCGCGGGCTATTCGAGGTTGGGTCAGCTATGCAAGACGCCATACGCCGGAAAGATCACGAGACAATCACCGAGGAATACAAGCGCGCAAGAAAGTACGCAGAGGAAGCTCGGTATATCGTCGAACAGGCAACGTCTAACAAGACACAACTTACTGATGCCGAGATACATCAGGTCATCGTGACCGCTAGGATGTGGTCAGATGTCGAGCGACAGGTTGAGCGTTTCAAGCGCGACTCGTGGAAACGCCTGACCACAGCTCATTTCACACACCTACAAACCGGGACCGAAGAGACCAAGTCGGACGAATACCTGAGCATCATCTCTATCATGCTTGAGCTCGGCGTAGAAGATAATCCGATATGGGTATGGTTACTCTCACGCTACGAACACCTCAAGTTCCAGCTTACCTCCAAATGCCAACATGCGCTGGTTGAGATTGAGATTCTTCGTCGTCATCTGGCAAACGGCGAAAAGACAAGCCTGCGTATGCTACAAAAGCATCTCCGTTCGGTGCCCACTAGCAGCAACGTCAGCGCCGAACCTTCGAAGCTAGACACCCTAAAAGTGACCGAGTTCTGGGAACACGTGTATGCGTCGATGAGCACCTTGCTCTCGAATAAAAGTGGACTACTGGCTGAACTCGTTGAATACTGGGAGATTGTCCAGTCGTTCCTCTCTGGTCGCGCGCAACGGAACTTGCCCACAGGTCACCATGGCCAGTCTTCTGTCCATCACCGTCTCAGCAGTGAGAACAAGGCTGAGCTTGAGAGAGGCACAACCGAACTCATCACTATTCTTCGGGACCACCTGGTCTCGTTCTTCTCGGACCCTCCTATAGAGGATGTTTCCTTGCTCATGTCGCCACTGCCTACGAGTCCGACACCAACAACTCCGGGAACACCATTGAGCGCAGCGTTGAGTCCCAAGTCCGCAACTAGGTTCAGATTTGACCCTGCGAAAGCACCACCACCCTCACCCAGTCGCGGAGAATCTTGGGAGAAGTATGCCTTCTGGCCTCCCAACGCGAATGCGCTTTCGGGATCTCACTATCTATCCAGGATGCTCGTGTTGATTAGCACTGCAGCCAACGAACTTGCTTCGTTGCAGGTTCCTGAGCCTGGAGGCAGCGGTCGCATTGATGAAGCCTTGCGAGCACTACTTGGCGGTGTACGAGAACGTTGCATCCAAGCTGTATGTGCAGCTTGGAATACTGATGCTGAGAAGTTGAAGGTGCTTGAGGACTGGACTCGTCACGTTGATCGTAAAGATACTACGAATTTGCCCCAACGTTTCCTAGCGGTACAGAGCTTCCTGCTCAACAATCTGCAGAAGATCTTGTATGTTGAGGCATCGAGCAAAACGCGAGTGGACGTAGTTGTACCACCAAGCAACAAGCTGCTGCAGATGGTCAGAAGCCAGTTCGTCACCAGCTTATATAGGACGCTGAGTGGAATGGTCGAATGTGCCGAGAAAGGCAGGCAAGCTCTGGGTCCCGAATTCGAGATCAAGGGCGATGACCTTACTATCGACGAGCAAGATGACCAAATTGGTAACGATTTGGGCAGGGTCGACGCCAACAAGAAGGTAAGTCATCCCACACTCGACTATGTGTCTTTTACTAACAAATCTTAGTCCATCCGCCTGCTTCTGACTCTTGCCAACATGGCCGCTTTTCAAACGGAGATAACCCCCCAGCTCCTCACCCTATTCGAGACACTCTTCAGCGTTCAACTCACGGACGAAACTAACCGCATTCGAGACGTCCTCTCTCAACTGGATGCGCAGCTCTTCCGTTCCTACACCAAACCCCACGCCACAAAGATTCACAACACAATCGAATCAGGCATCTTCAGTCCAAACTGGGCGCCGGCCCCCGACGCGCGAAAGAGTGTTGCAGACCGCGACCCCAGTCCATACGTCTTCACCGTCCTTCTCGACCTCGTGATTGTGCACACGGAGTCTTCGACAACGTCCGCGCCGTTAACCCCCCGCATCCTGCGTGCATTGTTCGAGTCTACAACTAGCTCCCTCATCACTACTTTCCAGTCCCCTAATCTATCTTCAATTTCGCTCCCGCAACTCATGCAAGCCACGCTCGACGTGGAATTCATGGCGCAGACGCTCGCTTCGTATACCACGGAGAAGGCGTCGCAGATCCAGACTGATATCTACCAAGTCCTGGACCAGAAGACAGACAACGCGGCCAGAGTACGGTTGCAGGATGAATTGGGTAGTCTGAGAGTCAGTCTCAAGAGGCTGAGAGAAGGGACAAAGGTGCAGTTTGCCTGCTTCAGGAGGGTCAAGAGGGGTACGCTCGCTGGTGGTGCACCAGGCCACGAAGGTGAGCAGAGGGGGAGATAGAATCGCTTCTTGAAGGGTAGTCCAAGTATTTTGAGTGTAAATGTCTTGTTGTTCGCAAATCTATCGCTTGGAAATGCGCATAAAGCGACCGTGGTTTTACAAAGAACGCCGCTGATGCATCTATGTCCTATTCTCGTTCCATACTCCATTCCCTGTATTGTTACAAGTCGTACAATATTGTTATACATCCTCAGACCCCGCAAAGGGATGTTGCTCGAAATACCGCAATAGCGTTTGGTAAAGTACCAACATGGTTCCCGACTGTACACTTGTCCAGACCGCACGCGGTCCGACACCTCTGAACCACCCAGCAATTCCTTCCGTTCTGTATATTATCTTCAAGCCTGTCATGACAGAGGAGGTGTCGAGGGTGGCGGCGCCGTGGGCTTTTAGTGTTGTGGAAGGGGAGGATGTGGAAATGGGTCGACTTTGAGTCGACGGTGGCTTAGTTGTTTGCGATGAGGTGGAGTGTTTCGAGGCCGCGGCGGGCGACAATGAGACTTTGGGTGCGGTTGGAGACGCAGGAGATGGCCCATTGTGTTGCGTCTGAATGCGCGTCTTGACTACGTCTAGGGGAGTTGTGATGACGCCTGCCATACCGCCCGCGGTCCCTGCTGTTATAATCTCAAGTGGCAGACCGATGTTATTTGAGCCCATATACCTCTTTGCCCAATCCCGCTCTTCTTCGTAAAAGGCAAACTGCAATGCTGAGAAAGGCAGGTCACGCCAGAGCGTTGCCTTGTAGCCATGGAAAAGGGCGCTATAACCTTCAGTTCTTGCTATTGTTCGGGCAGCGTCAACGGTGCCGCGGTAGTTGTAGCCTGAGTTAAAGTAGGGGTTGTTGTAGCGGCCTTGTAATTGCAGACGTGTCTTGAGGACTTCGGATGGAACGTATGCGGGTGCAGCAGCGAGGTCGGCGAGGAGACCTGGGAGATGTCAGTATGGAGATAGACTCGAGTAATTTGGGGAAGGTGTACCGGCTGAGAAGTATGCGACCGAGGGCGCAACCCCATAGTCAATCATGGTTCGCTTTGTCCATTCATAAGCCCCAAAGAAGCACACGGTGCCTGCAAAAGACCCGAGGAACGCTGGCTGAACCCCGCCATATAAGCCCTTTCGAAAGCCTTCTTGCCGCCATATGGTGTAATATGTGTTGCCCATGGATGTGTACTTTGGAGGCATGTGCGGGTCGCCCTGCTGTCGCGTCTTGACAGTGTCCAGTGAATGCATCAACATGTCACCCGTCGTTCCTCCTATTCCTCCTGCCAGCATTGCCTGTTTGTGATCAATTGGCATCCCTCATCTCTGCAGACTAGGCATCCTCACATGTAGGTATGGCGGCCGCGCTGCTTCCTCATCTATCTCGTCGTCCATTGCTCCCCGCTTGGTATCCTCCATGGGAAGTTCCACTGCGTGTGCTGTGTTTGCGACATTTCTCCGGCTACCGTCGGTCAGGTTGGTGGTAGAGTCTCCGTTTGTGAGGAAGTTGGCCACGCGGGCAAGTACCATGAGCGCTTCGATGGTAGTGGTGAATACAGAGGAATTGGAGTGTGTGGTAGTCAAAGAGAACCGAGTATGGAGAAGGATTCAATGTGCAAGGGTATACTTCAAAGAGTGACGTTGCTGCCTCTGCGGCCGTGCGATGATGTTCAATCTGGAAAATTTCGGCCAAGACCGGGACCGCGCAGCCCACATCCCTGCAAGCCCTGGCTATCTGCTATCAAAAGCACGGGGACCAGACGACGGCTTGATGCAGTTAAGACTACTTCAACTATCTCTACGCGAATGCTCCCAAGACACCGACAACACATCTGTCTTGCCCCAGAGACAACATGGTGTTGTTGTAGATCAACATATAATCTAGGCTAAGCCCTGCGACATTTAGCGCCTGCTGATGACCCACGTGAGCCCCAGCCATCGTGTTTACATCTCGAGTCTCTCTGCATCCGATCAACACCACACCGCCCCCACCTTTTTCGCCCACGACGCATTTTTCTGCTTGAATTTTTGCTCCATTCTGATCGCACGCGTTACGCGACTTGATCCATACCACTCACAATGTCTCACTCGTGGCTTCAGAGGAAGCGCAAAGCTGATTTGATTGACCTTGCGCAGAAAGCTAGACTTCCCGAGTAGGCTAGGAATTAATCTTGCGCATGCATCGGAGCACTGACGAATGGTTTGCAGTGCCGACGGCTATCTGAAAGACGATCTCGTGCAGATTCTTGAAAACCATCTCAACTCCAACGAGGGCATCTTTGCCAAACTTCCCGAGTTTCGCGACTACTATGGCCGAAATGGATCGCCGATAAAGCGCGAACAGTCTTCGCCGGCAGAGCCTTTGACAGCTACCAAGACGACGCGTCGTCGAACTCTTAACAAGGAAGTCTCGTACGTAGAACCTGAATACGCGTCGCGTCACGCGTCGAGGCTAACATGCGCGCAGCCCAGAGTCTACTCCCATCACCACGTCTACCCCCGCCATTACGCCTGAGATCCGCAGCGTTGTGGCGCGTACGCCAAAGCCGAGAGCCGTCTCTCGTCGTGTTTCTGAGATTGTTTCTGAGGTCGAACCTCAAGCCAAAGCCGTTTCGCGCCGCGTTTCCGGAGTGTTTTCTGAAGCCACACCGAAAGCCGTCTCTCGTCGCGTTTCTGAAGTGTTCAATCAAGTCGACATTCCAGCATCACCTGCCCAGTTGGCTGAGGTCGCAGATCAGTCTTTCCAAGAAATCCAGACCAAGGCTGGTGAGCTATGGAACAGGACTCGGATCGATGAGCTTAAGGAATTCATTCGCGAAAACGCAAGCTCGGTGGCTACAATCCAGACAATCATCCTGCTTGTGGAAGCTGTAGGACTGCAGTGGAACACACTCGACACAACCCCATTATTCGCCACACCCCCCGCCCTCAGCTCATACTCCAACAGCCAAGATGTCCGAGGACCAAATCTCTATGCACTCCTCTCGGCTGAGTGGTGGTCACCAGCCACTCTTTGGTCACTCACTAGCTGGGTGCTACCACTCATGTTCTCATACTTCTTCAACCTGACTCTTCGCACAAACACTTCGCGCAAGTCTTCGGACCGCCAATATCCTGCTGATCCCCTCATCTTCAACATCACGCGAGCAATCTTGTCATACAGCGCCTACCGAGAGACCGTCAACATGGCATTCGCACCAAGTGCATGGGGCCCCTTCTCCGAGTATGCTGTTGCGCGTGTTGGGAACAATGTGCCAGGAGGATACTACGGGCTGCAAATTGGCTCGCTAGTTGGCATACTTGTCAGCCTATACGACGCTGCACTGAAGAAGTAGGCGCTGGCTGGTCTAGACAATGAATATCAACTACCTACGTGCGCAATAGTCTGGTGATACTTGTGTGCTCAACGGCGTTTGGATACACTATACCTTGGATCTTGGGGATGCAATCGCCCTGTATCCGGATGCAGAGGCCAGGGCAGGCGTTGAAGGCCGGGAACGAAGAGTTCGCTGGGCATTCTGGGATAACTCGTTGCCTAATTTATTCTTTATTCAATGAACCAATACCGACTTGAATTGACCTCTGGAAAGCAGCGACCACGAGGCACTCGGACACCTCGGCTGTCGCGAGATCCAAGACCCTGAAACTTGTGTGGGGACGGTCGCGCCTGCTATCGATAGCCCCAAGCGCGAAAAGACCACGCCATCACCCCTCTTCCGCTGCTAACATTGAGCAACTCAATACTGCCTAACCTAATTGTTCTACATATACTTGCTTTATCTACATATCCTAATCGAACTACTTACGAGATGTCGGCCAAATTCATGCAGATGTTGCAGAATATGCAGCAGCGATCGAACCGGTATCTAGCACAAGGCACCATTTAAACGCGCATTGAAGTACTGACGCGTAGATTCCCAGGACTGTGGAAGACATGCGAGACTCTGATGACAAGCTCGCGGGTATGGACGGTATGGAGCTTCGTGGATGGACCCAACAGAATCCTACAGTGCCTAGCCGCGACCTCACAGATCCAGTCGGGCAGACCATTCTTGCTGTTTTCAACAAAGAATTTGATGCGCTTCAGAATTACTGCGAAATGATGATCAAGCAACTCGGAGGAACCGAGGAAGCCCGCGAGACTGTCAGACAAGATGTATATTCGAAAAAATGGGGTCCCACCAAAACGCCCATCTACTCAGTCCTATTGCCAGCGCTACATATGCTCCCGAACAACAAGCAAGATCTTTTAGGCGTTGTCAGATATCTAGTCAACGATCTCAAAGTACCAGTCGACGGAAGAGATGTCGTAGGCAGCACAGCACTCTTCTGGGCAATCTCAACCAAACCCTACGTACAACCAGAATTCGCCCAAATTCTCTTCGATGCCGGAGCTTCTGTCAACACTAAGAACCGTTTTGATGCCACCCCGGGCGCCGAAATCGCTCAAGCCGACATTCACGGCGACACGACCAAGAACGTGCAGATGATGAAGTGGTACATTGAGCATGGCGGAGACGTCGTTGCTAAAGACACAGATGGAATGAATATCAAGACCATAGTCGAAATGATGGGTCAAAAGGTGCCGGCTATGACTGAGGTTCTGAAGAGCGGACATGGCCCAAGGAAAGAGGGAGATTGCACTAATTGTGGGAGGAGCCCGAAGGACGGCAAGCCCTTTCCGGCATGTGCGACCTGTAAAAAGGCGAGGTATTGCTCGCAGGAATGTCAAAAGGTGGATTGGAGGGTGCACAAGAAGACTTGCAAGGCTTCGTAGAGTGTATGGGACGACGGCAGAGGCGGGGACAGATAGTGCTCGAGCATTTCGTTCTTTTGTGCGCGTAAGGAAGAGGCAATAGCTATCCGTACGAAGGAGCTTGTATCTCCCAAGTTATATCTCTACAGCAGATACTCACTAAAAGTATAGATATAATTCTACGTTAAAAGTTTATCAAGATGGTAGCAATGTCTATGTTTTGGGTACAACTTAAAGACAACGAGCTTCTTCGTATCGCGAAGCGTTGGGTCTTGACGTCGCTGGCTACGAAGAGTGACCCTCTCGAAGATGGTAGCGGAAAGCAGTTCAGAATGACAGTAATTCTGCCAAATCAAGGCGGTTAAAGCCACAACAAGACGAGTCATGTGGTACAAGGCATGCAGCTTCTATCAAGCACTGTATGTAGTCGGAAAGTGGGGCATCAGGAAGCGCTAGCATGCATGCAGTATGATGACTACGTCACGCGTAATGATCTGACCGCCATCCTTAAAGTCATGTATCCTTGTCCAAACATTCTTTAGCTGGTGATTACTGTTTTCTCGAAAGGTTTCTGAGTCGTAACAGAATTACTCAAGATGCGATTGAATCCGAATGGGGACGCATCGACCTTCCCTAAACGTTCGGCCTTGCCACACATTGCAGGCACACCAAAGGACAATGCTTGGTTTTGGGTGAGACATCTCTTTCACAGACTTCACATAAAACATACACTAACTTTATCTATCAATATCTCAGGGCGGCAACGACGAACTCGGTCGATTAAACCTCCTCACCCCACAGCGAATAGCAAAAACCACACAAGAAAATGTCAAAACGGGAGAATCAGTATCACTGGACTTGCCATTGAACGTTCCCGGCCCAGCCTTCTTTGGACGAAAAGGATTGAAACATCGCATCAAGAACATAGCCCCCGGCGCTTTCGATGATGAACTAGCATTCAACACGCAGAGCAGTAGCCAGTGGGATGGCTTCCGCCATTTCGCGCATCCAACATATAACTGCCATTACAACGGCGTTATCTCTGACGAAATAATGGCCGATTTAGACGGCGATGGAGAAGATGGCGAAGAAGCACCTGAGCGCTCAAGAAAGCTCGGCATCGATGCCTGGGCTAAGAAGGGCATTATAGGCCGCGGTATCCTCCTCGACGTATACTCTTGGGTCCAGAAGTCGGGCAAAGCATATGATCCTTTCACCAAACACTCCATAACAGCCGATGATCTTCGTGAATGTGCAGAGTCACAAGGCACGTCGTTTCAAACCGGCGACATACTCTTGATACGTACTGGATGGCTTTCAACATACAACGCCCTCTCTACCGCCCAGAAATCCGATCGCAGCACCATGCCACTAGATCAACACTTTTACGCTGGTCTCGATGCCACAGATCCCACGAAAGACTTCTTATATGACAACTACTTCGCGGCAGCTGCGACGGATAACGCGAATTTTGAGGTTTGGCCGCCGGAGAGCTGGGAGGGGAGTCTACATGCAAGTATGCTTAGCATGTGGGGCATGCCGATCGGAGAGCTTTGGAATTTCGAAACGCTGGCGGAGATGTGCTGGGAGAAGGGGAGGTGGGAGTTTTTGGTTGTCAGTAAACCGGTTGACGTACCTGGGGGTGTTGGGAGCTTGCCGAATGCGGTTGCGATATTCTGAGGTGAAGGTTCGTTGTATGGATACCCAAATTGGATGTTGTTGATATTTTCATGACCTTCTCATACGTTAGGATTGCTCTTGTGGTAGTTGGAGCGGTTGTCTGTCTTGTTGGATCTGTACTCATTTTACTAATGTGCACATTCATTTGTTGGAGGCCCCATCTATCTACCGATATCTCACACGACAAACATGATATTTACCACGAGAACCTATTCAAGTATAGAAGTCCCAAACGCTTTTAAAGAGGCCATTTGGTGACGTATGGATCATGTCGTCCTGGATGGCATTGGAGGCTGGCGAGATTCCGCGCTAGTAGGCTGTGGGGAAGCAGCCATCGAAGACGCGACCTGATCGCGACCGCGCGAACCCATCCTCACAATACATCACCTGCATGAACGCGACATCACCCAAAACAGTACGCTCCACGACGATCTTTTCGCGTAAGTTTACCCATCGTCTTCGATGCATTATGTAGCGCGTATCGCATACTCTCGGTCAAAGGCTCTTGTGCGTGTCGCTGCGCCCTTTGTTCTACAGCACTACGTCATCGACTGTCGCGTTTGAACACTGAGTTCCGAGCCTTTCTATCCTCCACAGACACAATAACATCCTGCCGCATCATCACACCTTCTTGCTCATCTGGACCAAACAGGCTCGACGTGCTGGCATGTTCGTCGGTAGTTGCCCCCATTGTGAGCGACTGCCAATCGGGATGCAGATGCCTGCACGGCATTCTTCTTCTTTTCTCTGTCCCTTTCGATGACACAGTTACCGTAAAGTCTCCCAGGTCAGAAGGCACCAGTTTCGGATTCGTACTACGCGAATCTTGCCAGGTTGAAGATTTGCGAGAGACCGAGAGTTCAGTGCCTTGGATCTCCGGATATACCAGGCCGCTGCCACCAACGCCAATGATACGCTTGATTCGTGGAACGCTTGCGAGTATTAGGGAAAGACTGGACACAGATCTGGTACCCGTAAGCTTTGAAAACACTCAAATGGATTGAACTTACTGAATCAGGACGACAAGCTCAACTGCATCGCCTGCGTCTCGTCAGATTCCTGGCGCTTGGTGTCTGTCAAGATTACTTACGCGTGGGATTTTGACTAGATGCTAACCTCAAAGTGGCCCATATTTCACCTCCAGCAACGAATGCTACACTGCAGAGTCAAAACCGCGACGTATTGGTGACCAGCCTATCAGACATACATTGCTCGAACACCGAAGAGCGTCGCTACTGCGAAGCTTTTCTCTTTGTCCAACGACAATTTCCAAAGGACCGGAACCATCCAAAAAGCCAAGAAAAGGTCTGTGGTCATGTTGAGTCCTACGACTGCGATCGCAAGGCCACCATTGCTACATCGTAGCGAATGTGCAGTCCATTCCGGGATTCCGCATTGGAAAGAGAGAGCAAAGATCGAGAATATCGCAAAGATCGTAATCATGCCGAATAGTATAATTTTGGCTCTTCGGGTTTGTGGGACGACGCGTTCGATGAGCAAAGCAGACGACAGCTTTGCGAATACCATCGCAAAGATTACGAGTATCCCGGCAATGTAGGATGCCTATGATCGCTGATTAGTATTGAAGAGCAATTGGCGACGGAGCGGTCAACCTTGAAGAACAAAGAGATGTTCTCGTCACTGAGATCTTTCACGTCCTTTCCTAAACCACCGTGGATGGCGTATTGCCAACCAACAGTCGCGCCTAGATACACAATCTATGGCGAGGTCAGTATTGTTCGTTGTCTGGAAAGTTGAACTGTCCTACAGTCGCCGCAACGATTGCTACGTCGTCAAGACCGGCTTCGACCTTTTGGCTACGACTCTGCCAGAACCGCGCGACCAGCACGCCTGCTGTTACGATCGCCCATGCATACGTGGAGACGAGGATGAAGCCACCCCTTGTCGTTGTGGCGATGCCACGACCTTCATCCGAACCTGCGGGTACCATTGTGTAAAACCGACAAAATAGTAACGAACATGGAGCCGTGTGGGAACCGACTGTGGGGAAACTGAATAGATTATGCTAATCGTTGAAGTATACGTGAAAATCGGATCCGAGGAATGCGCAGCTTATGCTGACCGTTGAAGTAAACGTCCCGCATGGCTCCGTCTCACTTTCATCGCACCGGCTCTCAGCCACGCACTCGGACAGATGTTGGGTACGTATTTGAGACTAACAACCCAAAAGTATACCCCATGGTTGGGCTTCCAACACGAGCCGTTTGAAGGAGGAATATCATTGGTGTGTTTCCATGATCTTTGAATCCGTCGCATGCTTACTGTCTGTGCATATGCATAGCGGCTAACCCGTTTTCTGCAATCCCCATGTCTATCCGTTGCGCATATCCAAGCCGTACCTCGCTAAAGCGCCTGCTGACGACTCCAACATCACAATCTGCGCGAGGCGTTTCCTAAAGCAGTGCATCCCTTCTCGTTGAGCGATTATAGCCTCACTGTTGGAAGATGAGATGTTGTCACAGATGGCGTGGGTCCTTCGCCTAGGTAAGCTTGATGGCAATTAGTGAAGCGGAACAGTTCGCTCAACCCTATCTCGATTACTTTTAGATGAGCCCGAGTCGGTGGTATCGCGTACGGACCCCGCAGCACGTTACATGCAAAAGGAGCCAAATTGCCGTTATTCGCTCCGGACACCATGCGGGCGGCCCCGGGCCCACGCGAGCCTATTTGCTGGAGCAAATACAAATCCCGCGCCCATGCGACGAACGACACGAACATACCCTTATGAGACGCGTGCCGCGTCGGATTTAGCCTTTTGAGTGTAGCGATGCCGGAAAACTGACCCATAACAGGAACGGGTCATTAATTGAGCTTGATAACATACCCTGCATATATTATCAGGCCCATTCATAGCTGCTCTGGCTAGACAACCCAGTGGATGGGTTACCAATCATCATGATCTGTTGTGTAACGCAGCTCAGAGTCCCTGGTGGACACTTTGCAACGTCTTCTCTTTTCTCCGCAGTTCCGCACGTTGCACACTGACCGCTGACCACTGACCACCGATTTGGGCCCTTTGTGTGCAAGCATGGAGCTCAGCACCTACAAGCCGGATGCTGACCTCGATGTCGCAGAGCGAGGATCCGGCCAGAGTGAAAAACTTGGAGTAACTCCCGCAAATGCGCCTGTAGGAGGACGGACGTCAAACCAGCTCGAAGTAAGTATCATATGACCTGCTTGACCAAGGAGCGTCATTGACAAAAACAGAGGTACATAAACCTTTCTGCTGTGATTAATTTCGCTGTTATCATTCTCGCTTCATGGGAATCATTTGCAGTGACCTTTCAGTTCGCCCTGACCAACGGTGGCCCGGCCTCTATCTTCTACGGTAGTATCTTGGCGGGTATTGGTGCTTGTGCTGTCGGATTCTCGCTGGCAGAGCTGGCTTCGATGTATGTCTCTACCAACAGATCCAGACTCCTGTTAATTTCTCAACAGCGATCCAACCGTCGGTGCTCAGTACCGCTGGTCAGCCAATCTCGCTCCTGCTGCCCCTCGCTTTTGGGGATTATTACAAGGTAGGTCCACGTAGCCAACCATACCTACCAGAGCTCATACTACAACAGGATGGATCACTGTTGGTGCCTGGTGTTTCGCTTGTGCTGGACCGCCTTCCATTCTTGCGAATATGATCACATCGTTGGCAATCTTTAACAACGAGAATTATATCCCTGAGAGATGGCATACCAGTCTTATCATGATTGCGATCATGATTATCCCCTTCACATTCAATCTTTGGTTCCGAAAGCTTCTTGACGCATTTGAAATCACAGGTGGCATACTCCACATATGCCTCTTCGTTGTGGTAATTGTCGTCTTTGTTGTATTTGGACCGCGCAGCGACCCTGAATTTGTCTTCAAGACACTGACATGGCAAGAGTCTGGTTGGAACAATAAGGGTGTGTCTTGGGGTCTCGGCCTTCTGAGTATGACATTTTCCGTCACTGGAGCCGACAGTGTTCTGCACATGTGTACGTCTATGTATCCTGACATGCCGCTACTTCGCTGATTAGCTGTGTAGGCGATGAAGTCAAGAAAGTGCGCACGCGTGTGCCGCGCAGTATCATCATCACATGTGTCGCGAACTCAGTCATGCTGGTCATCTTTGCCACCATCCTCTTGTTCTACATGGGCCCACTCGATGATGTCGTCGCTACGCCACTTCCACTGCTATGGGTCATCTACAACATCACTGGCTCATCAGTGGCAGCCAATGTTCTCACTGCGCTCATAGCGGTGATTTTCTTCTTCGCGCTCTTCAACATCTTTGCTTCAGTCTCGAGACTAGTGTGGGTGTTTGCCCGCGATAACGGCCTGCCTTTTTCCAACTTCTTCTCATACGTATGTAGCCTGCTCGGCTTCGCTTGTTGCGCTGACTGACAACATTAGGTCCATCCTACGCTCAAACTTCCAGTCAATGCTCTTCTCCTCGTCGGGACTATCGTAACCTGTCTGTCCCTGATCTATATCGCCAGCGCAACCGCCTTCAACGCGCTCATCTCCCTCCAAGCATTCGCCCTGCATATATCTTACTTCTTTCCGATCCTATTCATGCTGCTGCGCAAGATTCGAGGGCCGTCTCCGCCATACGGACCATTCAAGATGGGTGTTATCGGTCTACCCGTCAACATGTTCGCGCTATGTTACCTAGTTTTCGTCGTCCTTTGGATGCCGTTTCCACAGGTTTTGCCGGTCACAGGAGATAATATGAACTATGCAGGGCCCATATTCGGTGCTGTAGTACTTGGGGCTCTTGCGCATTGGTTCATCAGTGGACATAGAACGTTTAAGATGCCCGTTATCCGGTATGAGTAGGAATATAGTTTCAACAAGTCTGGTTGTACTGGATATGTTGTTCGGTATGATGCAGATTTGGGAGCAAGATCAATTGGCAACTGAGTGTCGTGTAAATAGAAGAAATGAGGAGCAAGGGTTGTCTCTTATACGGCATTAGCTTTTCGCCTATTGGTTAGGGTGCCACGCGGGTAGCCATCCGGCGCAAGGCGGGATCCTCAGCTCCACACACCCTTCGTCACACCAACTGGTTAGCATACCCCGCCACACACCTGCATATAGCTGCGCCGTAACGTGATCGGAGTAGTGGATACGGAGAATCAGCAGTGAAAGACGTCTCGGCGGTTTGTCTGTTTGTTATGTAAAATACCCGAAACCCGCATGATTGGCCTTCTCTACAGCGATCTTCGCCTTTGCGAAGGTTGTTTACTCGCGTTACACAGGGCTGACAGGACGACGTCAGATGCTGACGGCTTCAATGTATAAGGAGAGTGGGCAGAAGGAGTGTGAGGACAGTGTATAGAATAGACCCTGATATTTCATACTCAGCTGCTTTACCGGACGCATTACCACTTGCTCAATCCTCGTACGCCTGTATTCCTATATCAAACTTGGCCTACAATGGCTCCAACCCTTCCTCCTATGCCGTTACCCGGCCTCATTATAGTTCCTGGTTGGACGGCCCAGCACCAAGAGACCTTTCTCATGAAGAACGAAGACACCCCCAAGGGCAAGTGTCAAAGTTTGGTCAGCTATCTCACACCCGAAGGTAAAGCTGGAGCTCCATTTCTTCAGATCAAAGAAGAAGAATCAGATGTCATCCTATTCAGGACGATGGAAGGACAAGAGGCGATACGGATCGATGTTGAGAGACACAACATCAAGCTCAAAACTGAGTATAGGGCACTGCGAAGTGCGGATGGGAAGGCGATATGGGATGTCCATCTGAGGATCTCATGGAGAGTGCCTAAATGGGGTATGCCGTTTCCTCGATCATCTTTGCTCCTTCTGAGTCCCTTCTCCCGACTAACGTTCGTTCTTATTAGACCTCACAGTCCATGAAAAGTACCTCGAAAACCAGAATATCGAGTTCGAGAAAGACGTCGCTGGTGAAGAGAAGGGTCTCCTCGCCAATGGTAACCCAATTATGACTGTCTCTCGACATGCCAAGTGGGCGCATCGGCATGCCGAATGGGAGGTTCATGTAGCGCCGGGTATGGATCTCTTGTTAGCGCTAGGCATGGCATGGATCCGGTCAGACCAGCAGAAGACAGCCGATGCCGCATCGGGCACGGTCATCATGTTTTAGAAGGACCAGCTTGAGAAGGTATGCCTTGAAAGTGGCAGGACGTTTTTCATGTATCAGAAACATCGTGTCTCTTACTCATCCAGAGTTGTCGCGACTCCACATTCTAGCCATTCCCTTGGAGACGTTCGCGCGCTCGTGTGAGTATGATCGCTCGGGTAGGCATCCGATCGTTGGTAATGCTGTGACTTCATCCCCTAAGACGCTTTGTCTATCGTGAGACTTGACCATAGCGTCCGGAACTTCGCGTAGTTCTACGGCATTCTTTTGTTGACCATATGGAGGTCGGGAGAGTACAACACCCGCATCACTGTAATTACTCATCGCAGAATTCAGGCGACGGGAGCCAGTTCGCGCGTGTGAGAAGTGTGAAGTGAGGGGTGACGTTGCAACCCAAGGCCAGCGACCGCTCATGATACTCTTCCTGGGCCCGAGCTGAGACTCACTCTGGTCGGCCCCCAGCGAGATCCAACTCCAGCCCGAAGGTTTGCGCCATTCCTTCTGGGACGGTCGTGCTACCGGAAGTCCTTGCTTTGGATCCGAGTTACTCTGCTTCGATTGCTTCGAAGGATGGGTAACATAGGAAAGAAATTCTTTGACACTTTCAGGCAACAGTTTAACCACTAATATCCGGATGGATGGTAGCGATACGCAAACGAAGCCTGCCGCAAGCTCGAGCTCCGTCCAGATAGTGACAGGAACGTAATCCCAAGTGGGATCCATAGAAATCTTGAACTTCGTCAAGGTGTGGAGACGAATAATAGTTGCGACGCACCCGAAAGTGCCGATGGCAAACATGAAGCCTACCGCAGCCTTGCGATAACGTTTCA